CTTATATTGTTGCGTCACCTAGCTATCGATACGGACCGCATGGAGAACATAGCTTCCAAGTTAGTCCATGATTACGTGTTACGAAGCTGTTGCCTAGCAACGGGCGTATTTGCAGAGTCGTTCCCCGGCAACGTTTGTCTCTGCTGGCTTCACAGTTCTGGCTTTCAGCAGGCATGCCATACTAAATATCAGTGTTAGGCGTAATCCATGCGTAAGGAGCAGGTCAGATTGTCTACCTCTGATATTCCAGCAAATCAATTGCATTTACCGGTCTTTATTTAAAAATTGATATTTGCTTTATTGTTCAAGAAATATATCGCTTTTCTGGAACCGAAGGGTACGCCCTATGATTATAAATGTTTCTATTTTGCCTGTATTTTTAGATTAGAAGAGTAAAGCTTCTTCCATGATTCTTTCTGACTTATTCCAGAAGGCTAAGTTCTCTGTCGTATATTTGTATCTTAGTACGAACACTGGATATCAAAGAAGTTATGAAGTTATTTACTTTACCTTGAACATGATTTATATCAGTGAGATCATACAAGATTCGCATCAGCATTAAACGAATGTTATGGCCAGAAACATATGTAAAAGTAGCAAGAAATGCTTGGAAAATTAGAGTATACTCCTATCCATGTTTATGTCTTAATTTACTTACTGTAGTGACCGTTGAGAATGTGTAGCTCAAATTGGCCGGACAGTTCAATTCGGCAGTTCTATTTTAGTGAAATGATTTAACACCAACCTTTATTCCGAGTGCACTAGATCGGAAGTTAATACATGAATATGCATACTGGCTTAATTTTCGCACAGTGGGGGTGGAGTTCATTTTGGTCCACTCGGCACGGCGGCCACTGATCAGCCTATTGTACCTGCCCCGGGTGATTATGATGATGGAGAATTTGGTGGCATGAAGATTGGCAGGGGAAATCGAAGTACTCGGAGAAAACCTATCCCAGCGCCACATTGTCCACCACAAGTCCCATTTGACCAGACCCGGGTTTGAACCCGGGCCGGCGCGGTAGGAAGCCAGCGACTAAGCGCTTGCGCTATGGCGCAGACATGCATACTGGCTAAGGAACAGAGACAGAGTCATCAGAACCTACAAGTATAGACAGGCTCTACCTCGATTTAAGTGGCCACTGAGTTCTTACATAACATCGCCTAAAGCGAAAGTGCGTATTTTTTTTTTCCGCAAGCTCAATGTTAAGTAAACGGCGGTTGTCTTTCTGAATAGATATTTCCAACAGCAAACACTGTGATGTTATCCTTGTTTACTTTCAGTGTGAAATAACATTATAATGACACAATAGGCATATCAGTGTCTGTATTACAGGCATGCCTCGGAAATATTGCAAGTTCGGTTCCAAATCACCGCAATAAAGCGAATTCTTTGGTTTCCCAGAGCACATAAAAGTTACGTTTACACTATACTGCAGTCTACTAAGTGTGCAATAGCAGTATGTCTAAAAAACAATGTACATACCTTAATTTAAAAATACTTTATTTTTAAAAAATGCTAACCACCAACTGAGCTTTCAGTTGGTCGTAATTTTTTTCTGCTGGAGGGTCTTGCATCGATGTTAATGGTTGCCGACTGATCAGGATGGTGGTTGCTCAAGGTTTGGGGTGATTATGGCAATTTCTTGAAATAAGACAACAGTGAAATTTGCCGAATCGATTGACTGCTCCTTTCACGAAAGATTTCTCTGTAGCATGCGATGCTGTTTGAACCCCACAAAGTCATCCATGAGGGTTGGAATCAACTTCTTCCAAACTCCTGTTACTGTTGATATTTTGACCTCCTCCCAAGAATCACGGATGTTTTTAATTGGATCTAGAATGGTGATTCCTTTCCAGAAGGTTTTCAATTTACTTTGCCTAGATTCATCAGAGGTATCACTGTCTATGGCAGCTGTAGCCTTACGAAATGTGTTTCTTAAATAATAAAGACTTAAAAATCGAAATTACTCCTTGATCCATGGGCTGCAGAATGGGTGTTGTGTTAGCAGGCATGAAAACAACATTAATCTTGTAAGGTTTGAGGTTTCCACGGCGGTGACTATGAAGAAAGCAGTCTTCTGGGATTTGGCACCGTGTATATGTGGTGTTAACCGACGTTTCGGAGGAACGTATCGCCTCCATCTTCAGTGTAGAGGGATAGATATAAGAAAATATAAGAAATCCGCAAGCGAAGAGACCGTGAGAACCGTCAAAAGCAGACTTCTACCCTGAAGATGGAGGCGATACGTTCCTCCGAAACGTCGGTTAACACCACATATACACGGTGCCAAATCCCAGAAGACTGCTTTCTTCAACATTAATCTTGTTGTACATTTCCATCAGAACTCGGGTGACCAGATGCACTGTCCATGAGCAGTAATATTTTGATATAATAATTATGAAGAAGTTCGAAATATTGCGAGAGTTGCCAAAATGTGACACAGAGACGCGAACTGAACACATGCTGTTGGAAAAGTGGCGCCGATAGACTTGCTCGACGCAGGGTTGCCACAAACTTTCGATTTGAAAAAAAAAATCCAATAGCTGCGAAGCGCAATAAAACGAGGTATGCTTGTAAATAGTATGGAGTGGTAGGCTGATTGATGAAAGATGAATTGAGAAAGATTTGGAAGAAAGCGTTCGTGGCCTAGTTTGAGGTGTTATCCTGTTACTTGTTTGGAGGGACTGAAAAAACCGCGAAACTCCCAATTAGGATAATAGGCGTCTCAATCGAGATTCGAATCGTTCACCTCCTGAATCCAATGCTGCAACATTACCGCTACAGCAACCAAATCGGTACATACACAATAATAAAAGTACATTAAGAGCATTACATACCGAGAAATCAGAAAACTCACAGCCCAACTGCAACATCCAGTACTGAGACAATACAAGTTTGAACAAAACTCCTCTACATAAGCATTCTTAATCAAAATAAGAACAGAGTGACTATTGTCAGAACAACCTGCCGACAGAGTTAGCACGACATGCGACCAACGCTCTACAGGCGCACTGTGTTACCACAATTTCACTCAGCACAATCACAATATTATTATATAGAAAGATATTACAGGATGTTACACACTAACCATTACTGATTTGCGCATGAAGGTAAGCCTACTGGAGGCTCATACTCGTACATTATCCTACTACCAACGTAAGTCACTGCCAGGCGCGAGGAGCAGAATGAACCGCGTATATGCGAGGTCGCGGAGCGTGGCAGTATATGCGGAAAACGGACGTTTAAAAGAACTCAAGTTTATACTAAGTTTTCTCTGTTCTCGAAAAGAAATACATTTGCTATGAAGAACAAGCTATGTTTTCAGTGTGTGACGGACAGGAAGTGGTTGTGAAATACGCTGTCATTAACTACCCAGATGTAATTATCGGCAGGACACTCCCCCCGCTCAAGGTCAGGTATAATTATCAGGGTAACAAAAAGTACAGCTGAAACACGTCCTTCAGAAGGGTGACCTTCCGCTTAGGGATTTACAATTTGCAGTTATTTACAAAAACTCTTTTTGTTTACGATTTGAGGTTCTGACTTCTAGGATCTAACGCTGTGTAATCTGATAGAAGTTTATGGACGCTAAGGAGGAACGTACTGCTTACATCCTCAGGATCGATCAGCAGGACAAGCAGCCCAAGCACTCTGCTTCAGTGTCGTGGCAAAGCAACATTCCTCATAACGAAACCATTTTAGCGCCTTGTCGATCACAGTGGCCGCGTGGTCTAAGGCATGAAATGTCTGCGCTCGCTCGAACGCTGCGATCGTGGGTTTGAATCCCACTCAAGGCATGGATGTATGTGTGTGTAGATAGATGCCTTGCGACGGGCTGATCCCCTGCCCAAAGAGTCCTGACGACTGTGCGTAGGATCAAGAAACTGAAAACAGCCAAGGCTAAACAAAATGACTGTAGAGCCATAGATAGGCAGATAGACGTTAACGCCTTGCAATTTCTCTCCTTACTCTGAGAAAGTCCTGATTGGTTGATTGATTGACTGATTCTGAAATAGGGGAGAGAATGGCATTGGCACACACGTCAATTTTGAAGTTACAAGAAGTCATAAAGAACTACATCGCACTGTAATATAGCAGAAGCTTCCAACAATTTGAGTGAGTTGTCAGCTTAACGTCTAAGAAACTGCGCGCCTTTTATACCCAATTTTATGTTTTTGCGGTTCGCGTTGTAAAGACGGCCTGACATAAAATCTTCGGTAACTAAAATGGTTTTAAATAAATAAAAGCAAAGAGTATGTAGATGTGGCGTGTTCTCGTGACTACTAATTCCTTCTGAATTTTAAATTTCTCAGTTTTTACATACACATATAGCGGATGGAATCACGCGGGGTAATCGTTTTCCGCAGATGATTCAGTAAATTTCTAGTGCAATTTTTTGTGCATGAAGCGCGACGTTTTTGGTGAATATCTTTGGCATTGCATTACAGGCAGACCTAAACGCCAGCACTATTCATTTATTGCCTATTGGCTTTTTGGGGGTGTTGTAACATATATTCCCTCCTACTTTTTAGTTCCTTCAAAAAGTTTTTTTTTATGTTCTTATACTGTGCACTTTTGAAATCTGTAGTCCGTTTCAGCGAAAATATTTTTTTGCGTTTCATTGTCCCACATGGGCGGTTAATTATACGCACTGTTTCTTGTTTTTAACTAATAACATTTTTCTCTTAGAGATGTGGCTTTGTTGCCTACACATGATATCATGTTAAATTTTCCTTCGTGGACAAATGTTGTAAAACTGGAAAAGAAAAACTCAATGAATAACATTGTATAGCAGTTCAAAGTCACGTGCGTGTAGTTCCCCCTTTCACCCCTCCCACTGAGGCCACCCTGCACGATGTGATAATACCATTTCAGGTCGTAACCTCGACAATATTTTAACAACTTCCTTGTTCACACTTATTTTAAGATCTCTCGCATCCATAAACCTCGGAACAAAATCATGAGATGTGATTTAAACAGCAACTGAAGTACTTACCAACATACCACCGTAGTGAATCGGCAAAGTCGGCGACCACTTTCACACGATTAGTTGATTAATGTAAAACAGTTTTCATTGCACTTTTACGTCTCTGATTTAAAAATTATGACTGAATTAAACACATGCGAGTTCCATTGCGTAATTCACACTGTAATGAGCTCGAACTTGGATCAAGAATGTATATATTCCTCCTAAGTAGTTATCCTTATCGACTCTTACACACGAAACCTGGGACTTGGCGAGGTTACACAGAAAGTGGCACTGATTCTGCAAGTTCTGAGTGCCGCTTTCTGCCTGCCAGCTTCGGGCTTACTAAACAGCACTACGGGCACTGGGTTTGCGCTGCTCGCTTCTTGAGCCCACACTGCGTGGGGGCTTGTCTCACATTAGAACTAAAAAGGGGAGAGGTAGAAAGAGAGAGAAATAAGAAAACCTGTTTCATCAGATTGCGCAATTGTGGAGTGGCACGGCTGTTTATCTTCTCGCTTTCCTTGCTGTTTGCTAAGTTTTAGTTTCCGCATTAAACCCTTGCTTATCCATGAAACCTCGTGTCTTTGTTTTTACGTAGAAACATTTCTGGGAGGCTGAATATGAATGACAGATGTCACGATGCTGAAGAAAGCAATCGTGGCCTACTTTAACCATCCCGACATTAACCTCGAAAGATTAAAGGAACCAATAAAAACCCCAGGCACGTATATGGCATAGTAGCATAACCGAATAAAGAAACAGCAGACAAATGAAAGTGTGTGTGTGTGCGCCTTGTGCAGCCCCTCTCACGCAGTAATATTTCTCCACCCCTGACTTAGCGACTGGATACGGGGTATTTCTATTGGCCACCAAATTCACGCCTGATCTGGGACTCGTCCAGTGTCTAGTGAGATTGTTACCGAAGATTATTTCTTTGAGGATAAAACGCTCGGAGCATGATGCTACCCACTAATCTCCATTTACAACATAAAATAAGATTATTATCAAGGAAGATCAGTAAAACAATTATGAACTGTTGAGAACATAAGTAACTATATGGTGTGTTCGACATAAGGTCAGGTCAGGTCATATGGGATTTGTGTAGACAAAGTGGAACTGGGACAGATTTTATCCGAATACTTCGGTTTCCCCCGCCAATTCTTGTTCCACTAACTGCACCATACTCATCAGTCATCCAAGGCTGGTGCAACCAGTGGTCGCCTGTGCGTACCAAGTGGACTCAGTGTGACCCCACCAACACAACACAATAAAATAAAAACTATATGCCATGAGCTCATTAACTTATTAGACGTACTTTTATATAATAGATTAATTCAATTCTCTGCTTATTTACGTACATCCCTAACACCCCATTGGTCAATTGCATAGTAAGGTAGAGTAAAACAGAAACACACACACGCACATAGACAAATGAAAGAAAAAAAAAGAGACGACTTATGTAATTCAAATAATAATAATAATAACGTTTCCATTAACAAATTGAAATTATCTTAAAGGGGCGAGAAACGAAAATTGTGTGTAAAGATAAAGCTACATAGTTCCGTTCAGTGTGACTTGTTAAGATTTGCTTATTTCAATTATTCACACGCCCTTACACGTTTCGGTGCTCAGAGACCATCTTCAGAGGGACACCCTTGCATCAATACTGTTAGAAGCCACCATTGCACTACATGTTCTAAAAGTAAAAAAATATATATATACAATATAAATAATATACAATTGGCTGTAAAATCTAAAGATTTTACAACTACACCGGCTGTTCCAATACTTTAAAATATTTATAGTCAGTTTGTTAAGATTCTATTGGAATGTGTGCCGCCTTGTCCTTCTTGCGAAGAGGGTTCTTTAATGTTGTCCCGTATGTGTTTGTGGCCCGCTGTGCACTGTAATGGTGGCTTCTAACAGTATTGATATAAAGGTGTCCCTCTGAAGATGGTCTCTGAAGACCGAAACGTGTAAGGCCATGAATAATTGAAATAAGAAAATCTTAACCAGCCACACTGAACGGAACTATTTAACTTTTTCATTATATTAATGTGATGGACCAGAATGAAACAAATCAAATTGTGTGTAAAATTTCAATTCAGTTCTCTATTAAGTTTCTTCATTTCAGTTCTCTATTAATTTACGTGCTTACTCAACAGCCCAAAGGCCACTAAAAATACTATACTACTACTACTACTACTACTACTACTAATAATAATAATAATAATAATAATAATAATAATAATACGGCTCCAGCTTTTTCGTTGCGCAGTGATGTATCACAGCGGGATATATTGTGCATAACCTAATACATGAAAATAAAGGTGGTACTTGTCCTGTCAGTGAGTCAGTTTTGGAGAAAATTTACGTCCACATTTCATGCCTTTTGCCAGGCACTCATTCTCACAAACACACAAACTGAAGTCAGACGAAGAAACAGCACGTTTTCTTGTTGACACAAGACAGACTAACTAACAGTTTCAACTAGATTTATTTTGTGAAATGCATGTTTATTGTTCGCCGATCACAATGGCCGCGCGATCCAAGGCATGAAATATCTGCGCTCACTCGAAAGCTGGGATCGTGGGTGCGAATCCCACTCAAGGCATGGATGTCTGTGTTTGTGTTGTCCTATGTGTAGGTAGAGGTCTTGCGATGCGCTGATCCCTCGTCCAAGGAGTCCTACTGACTGTGTGTAGGTTCAAGAAACTGAAAAAGCGGCCAAGGCCAAACAGATGGACTGTAGAACCATAATAACAATAATTATTATTATTTTTCACATTACTTGAGTGAGCCAAGATGAGCCGAGCTTGCATTGATACATTTACAACACAGGTAACTGCTAACCATAACACACTGCATGCAAGCTGATAGTCGCCTGCTATCCTGAGCCACAACGCAGACCAAAGAAAATATTTTAATTTCCGTTTAAATGGGGCACCGTAATTTCTTAATGTGATTCTAATTCTTAGTCTGCACCATTGCGTTCTTTGTACAAGCTGTTTACAACGAAAGACCTGAGGGAAGGACGTAAGTATTAATTTCTAGTTTAACAGTATTATGCGGAGCGAATAATTGTGCAAAGCCCTTTTTGAAAAGCTAATATTTGCTCAGCTGGTTAAGAACTCCGCAAATTCCTTCACTACCGTGTTCACAAGAGCCCACCACTTCACCCCGTTCTGAGCCCTACGGCCCAGTCCACCGTAAGGCTCTAAACAAACAGATTTAAGAGCAACCAATTCGCTTCCTTTACTTAATTCTGTATCCAAATGTACTGCTTTCCGACAGCTCCTCGCTTTGTTCCAATATGAAATAGAATCTTGGAGAATGAACCAAAATCCTCGTTCCGGTGCATAATGTTATGTGTAATATAGAAATTAAATATGCAGATAAATCGAGCAATATGAGATGAGTTGGACATGTAGAACAAGCTTAAGAACTTTGAAATTCGTGCAGGGTTTAGAATGAAAAGGGAACATTTGGGAAATTGGGGTGTAGATAGATGGATACTATGAAAATTACTGTTAATTCAATAACCGTAGGTGATCAGAATGTGATTCAGGCAAAAATGGTTCAGAACAGATTTCCGTGGCTGGATTTTTGTAACAATGTTAAAAATCTGGGTTTCATAAGAATATGCACTTCTTGAATAGCTAATTATCCTTTGCTGAGGAAACACCCTCTACATGGGAGTCATTTACCAGAGCTATATCAGAAGTCCCAAAACCCTCTGACCGCATCATAACATCTTGCTGCCTTCTTTAAATTATTCAACTCGTTGGTCTTCCAGATGTTTCTGCATTGCAATTCCATACACATGCAGTGTTTCCACAAGCGTTTCGCATACCTAATACGTAGAAGCACTCTTGATTTAATTATCAGGAGGAAGATTATAAGTCATGGAATTCCTTAATTCTCTCTCTTTATATTTATTTTTTAATTCAGCTTCTCGTTCCATTCTACGCTATGTAATCTCTTCGTCTGAAACAGCATCATGAAATTGTATGCAAGTCAGTTCAGTTAAAGCAGGCCACTAAATAGAAACACTGTTCATCTTGGCTGAGAGACGGTTAAAACAAACTGTGGCCTATAGTCCGCAAGCGAACTATACCGACCGAGCAGCGGCCTCCGTAGTCTAGGGTAACGTTCCCACCTCATGACTCAAGGTACGCGGGTCCAAACCCGGCGGAGGTCGTGGAATTTTTAAGGGTGGAAAAAATTCAGGGAACAAGTCCTCCGGGAGGGACTTTAAGCCGTGGGTCCCGTGTCGTAGCTTTACGGCACGTAAAAGAACCTCATGTCTCTAGGAGACCTCTGAACTAAATTAGGCAAATTTTCCCGCCCAAGTAGTTTCCAATGCCTCCGGTAGATGGGGAAAGTATTAGGTACCACTGCCAGATGAGGACCGACCTCACTGACAGAAAGGGGCTGATAACGGGCACCAGTACCGGTAGGGTATGGAGACAGTAGAAATTAAAGGGGGATGCACAATGGACCAATAACTGGTCTAAGTGCATGGGGAAACCCACCTCCTCCAACAATGAATGAATACCGACCGAGCGACCGCCGCTTGTCGGCGAAGTTTAGTACCAACTTTTCCGCAACAAATCCCCACGGCCGTTAATCTCGATTTTCTAGACCGGAGCCGCTACTTTTTTATTCAAGCACTTCCTCAGTTATCTTCACGAGGCTGAGCGGACCCCGTTTCAGATCCACTGCTTCTCAGAAAATCTGGTAGCGCCGGGAATTGAACCCAGGACCTCTGAATTTGTAGCCAGGAATTCTGACCACTATACCAGAGAGGCGGGCGAGAGACGGTTTAATCGCTTAAATGTAATTCATGATACTCGTAATATCATTTACTTGAATATTTACAATTGTCGTTCTCGCTAAATGAGAAACCAAGTTTCTGCAAAGAAATTAAAATATTATTTCAGAGTATGAGGTGTCAAACGGTTATGAAGTGGATAAAATGAACCAAATTTATTTGTGTTTATGCATATTATGTTTATCCTAGCAGCAATGTTGATTTACGCTGATAGACGTTAACAAAACTGTTATCATCCAGTCCTCTTTGTGCACTGCTCCTTGAAGGTCTTGTTGTTGGTTATGAGCCAGTAATGAGGCGTACAAATAACGATTTGGAGCCCAGTCACCCGTCTGAACGAATTTCGCCAGTCGTGATAAAATCACGAAGTTACGCAGAATCCGAATAACACAGAAACTCGGTACATATCTTTGCCACATTTTCTTTCTTTGACGACTACTATTTTGCTAGCAACACGATTATCAGCTTTAAGACTGCCCATGAATGCAATGGGATGAAAATGAAGCTTCTATGTTTTCATGCGCCCTTTATACAAATATATGCGACGAATGCATAATAGATAGGCAGTG